TTAAAGCTCCATCCTAGGTACCTGTACACAGAGAAAAGCTTCCAGCTCTTAGCATGGGAATTGTAGACTTTTTCTTGTCTAAACTTGCACAAGAATGTGTGGCATTCATCTTCTTAATGACCAGATTAGCATGTTTACCAAGCAGTCCAGCTCATGTGGAGCCCCTTCCCCTTTAGACAAAACAAGTGCATTAAAGTCCACTTTCCAATTCAGTATACATGTATTTATTAAAGATCCAAGCAAAGAACAGTTGCTTTTAAATTAAAAATAAAGCTCACTCAAACTTATTTGTCAGACCCAAAGAATTACTCAAAAGGTAGCTTACCCAAAGAGTAACTTACTAATGCAAGGAGAAGGACCACCCAGGACATGCACTTTCTGCAGCTAGATCTGTATTGAAGTTCCTCTCTTAGGAACATTGTTGCTGTTACATGCCATCAAGTCATGCCTGGCTTAAGCAACTCTATGAGTGAAAGCCATCCAAAATGTCCTGTCCTGGGCAGCCCTGCTAAACTCTTATAGACTCAAGGCTGGTGTTTCCTTTATGGAGCTGATCTGTCTCATATTTGGTCTTCCTTTTATTTTTGCCTCCAACTTTCCCAAGCAAGATTGTCTTTGCCAGGAAGTCATGCCTTCCGATGATGTGCCCAAAGCCTCTGTTTCATCATTTCTGCTTCCAGGGCAAGTTCTGTTTTGTTTAGACCTGGGACCCACCCGTTCATCTTTCTGTCAGTGCCAGGTACTTGCAAGGCCCTCCTCCAGCAATGTGTTTCAAATACATGTTTGAATCCCATGACAGGCAGTCCTATAGCCCAGGCTATAAAAAGTTCCAGCTGCTGATTTCTGTGGGTCACAAGAGCATGTCACCTGGATCCACCCATCCCCTCTCTAATGATATTTCTGTTGGGGAGGCAAGTGGAGCATGCCCTGGCCTCCTCAGCATAAAAGCAGATATGCTGCTTGACTGGGAGGGTGGGAGGGAGTGGGGGAGTCCCATGCTGCCTTAAAGAGGTGGTGGTGAGAAACCTTCCCTTGACATGGAAGAGCTGAATAACTTTAGGTTGGTAGCAAATTTGCTTTTACAAGGCAAGGTGATTGAGAGAATGGTTCCATTGGTTCTAGTCCTACTTGGAGGTCCATCTCCAGAAGATGGTGCCTGGGGAGTATTCTCTAGTGTGAAGCTCCTCAGGGGCCTGTTCTGTCCTCCATGCTATTCAACATCTACATGAAATAGCATGGGGGTTATCTAGACTTCTGGAGTGTGTTGACATGAGTATGCTGACAAAATGAAGAGCTATTTCTCCTGTTCATCAACAGGTGAGGCTGTGGATGTGCTAAAGTGGTGACTGTCTGTGACAATGGACTGGATAAGGCCTAACAAACTGAAACACAATCCAGACAAGACTGAGATGCTGTTGGTAGGTGGTTCCTCTGACATGATGGAGGGTATTTAACCTGTTCTAAATGGGGTTGCACTCCCCATCATGGGGACAAAACAAACGTAATCGTAATACATGTGATGTACAGAAATATCTGCTTTGCCTAGCTGAAGGTCAGAAAGTATTTCATAATAAAGAATTAGAGTCTGTTGGCCCTTGTCCAGCCTAGCAGTCACACTTCATCTAGCAGGCCAGCAGCACAGCCTACACACACAAAATGTGCTTCCCCAAGTCAGAACACTATTCTCATCACCATTGTTCTGGGAACTGCCATATAGATTTGGAACAATTGGTATGAAGTCTTCTTTCCGTTGCCAGGTTAGATTGAAAACAGTTGGCTTCCATTGGCCAAATCTATATCCTGAAAGAAGGTGGCAGATGATCTGTCTGTCATTCTGGCTCTCAAATGGACCTTGGATGCTTGGAATTTTGTTCTTTTATTCAGGCCCTGTTTGGAGACATGGATTTATAATCCCTTAATAGTATAAAAGAGAAAGTTGCAAAATGTTTCCAGAAGGCTGCTGGAAAGAAGCATTTTTTCAGACCTCAGTGGGTGGATTTTTATTAAATTCTTAAATATATTCTTGACATGTCTCCCATTTTATGGATTGGAATGACCTACCTCAGGAACATCCTAACATATCTCAATGGCTCATTAGTGTCCCTTTAACTGTATCACTCACAGTTTACCATCAAATGACAAGGTAAAGTTCTTTAACAGTAAAGTATGTCTATAATTTTAGACTCTCCATTGTTCCAGGTTGGAAGTATGGTTCAAATACAAGGTTCATGTACTCTTGGCTTTAAGTAACAAGGGTGTGTTTGCATTGGCGCCAATTGATTTTTTTTTTCTTTGTTTAACCTCTGCATAGGAGGTAAATTTCAGAAGAAAAGCAGACTGTGCAGGAAAGTTAATTGCTGCTAACTTCAGGGCTGGGTAAGGAGTAGAACCCAGATCTCCTGGGTCCCAGTCTAACACTCTAACCAGTATACCACATTACCTTAAGTAGAAAAGAGATCTTCAGACATTTTACATTTCAGTTCCCATCATTCTTGACAAAGGCCAGTGCCAGATTTCACTGTCTTGTTTGCTGACATAACACTGCTGATGGTTCCTTGCTGCTGCTACACACCACACCACGAAATCCCCTGCCTGTCCATCCCTTGCTTGCTGAAACCACATACTTGCCAGGCAAAACTACCCGCTTGCTCACTTGCTGAATCTGAACCACCACCTGATGGCCCTCCCTTCCTCCATCTATTCTAGGTGCCACGCAGTGGCTCCTCCTCCTCCTCATGAGGCTAAGGTGACTTTGGGAATTGCTGAGGCAGCTGGCCGGCCAGCTGTGCCTTCAACTACCTGCCCTCCTTTGTAGTACATGGCACTTCCTTTTGTTAGAGGTCCAGCTAGGAGGATAGCAGCAGCTGTGGCAGAGTGAGGGTCCATAAACCTTTAGATCCTCCAGGCCTTCAGCAGCTGCCCAACCATACTAAGCATGGACAGCAGGCCTGCTCCTTGCCACTGGCTTTGCTAGCATGGGCTTTCTAGGAGCTGAAGTTCAAAACTTCTGTGTTTTGCCTTCCCCCGACTTAGAACACCCGGAATATTTGTTGCTGAGGCAAGATTTAAGCTGGGCCTAGTTGCTACACTAGCTTTCACATTCTGTCCCTGAAAAAGAACCAGCTGGATATGCCCCCATTCAGCTAATGGTGTATTCAGTGTTTCATTCAGCTCCATTAAATATTATGATGGTATCATTCAATTGTAAAGGCTTTCTGAACAGTCTGTTTTGTGACCATTCTGAATTATGAGTTGTATTTTACGTAGCTTTTTTAAAAATAAAAAATTGTAGAGTGCAAAAGATGTTCAAGCATCAGCTAGGCAGGCACTCTTCACCTCAGGTTCTTCCTGAACTGTCACTAATCTTTGCAGGTGGATGTTGTTATGGCTGTGCCATGACAGTCATGTTGCTAACTGTAATTGAAAGCTGTATTTTTCAAGGGATTTCTGATGGTAAAAGGCATTGCATTTCAAACAAAGTGTAGCAATTACAAGATCCTAGTGAGTTTGGTGCCTGGCTTTTCAGAACAAAACAAATACTCTGTCCTTTTTATTAAACTGTCACTCGGTACACACACCTACCACCCACCTCCACCCGACAGTTTTCAATAGAACTTTTCATCTCTCACAGATGGTCAATTGAATGAGGCTCCTTCGCTTGGAGAGGAGCCCAACGTGTCCTCCCCCACCCAGTGAGTGACTTGGCGGAGTTGGGAGCTGATGGGATTTATGATTACAGATCACTGATTAGGCAAATTACTAAGGACAACCCAATCTTCTAAACATCACATGAAACTGAAGAAGTGGCCTTATTATTGTGCTTTGTTTTGTTTGACAAATTTGTACATTGCCCTTAACCAAAAGGACTCCCAGAGTGGCTGACGAAGATAAGTAGCATGACAGTCACTGCCCACAGGCACACTGTCTAAAATGAGACATGACACATAAGGAATAAGGCAGAGGGAAAATAGGAGGGCATATGTAATTAAAATGGTAAAAAAAGAGTGCACTCACAAGACCTGCTTTAAGAGATGGTAACAGTTTACTTTTTCCTTTTCTGCTGCCGGGGGGTTGACTGGAAAGGCAGGAGTGGCCCATCTCTGCCCGGGGCAGCAGCAGCAGCAGCCACCGCCGCCATTGTGTGGTCCTGCCAACACCCTTGCAGAGGGGCTTCCAGAAGAGGCTTTTGCTGTGCAATTGCAGCACTGGATTTCATATGCAGTAGAGAACATACTGCCTGTGATTTGCAGCCCTCACATTTTGCCCACCACTTCTGTCTTTTCTTTCTTACCAGAAAAAGATTGAATAGCTGCACAGGGGCTGAGTTCACACAATATGTTGGGGATTCCTTGGGAATGTAAACCATGTACTGTGCTTTATACTCCCCCGTGCCTGACAGAGAATCATGCACAGCAGGGCTTGTGTGCCTCCTTGAACTGATGTCCCCTGAACTGTGGAGCAGTTTAGTGCTTACCACAGCTTGGCATTTTTAAAATGTGCCTCTGGGTTGGCAGCACTTGGGAACCCCTTGTCCTCTCAGGGTTAGTGCAGGGACATCTTTGCCTAAAGAAAAATATTGTAATGGAGATACTATGGTATTTACATAAAATGATAGAAATGTGGGACTTTACTGTTCCTGCTATTATGACAAAACAGAAACTGTCACTTTAGCTCTAGGGGCTTGGCTTCTATGCATGTATTTCCAGTTGCATCTCTTGCCTATCAAGCTGCTGAACACATCACAGCATCAGTAATCTTGCTTATTAGACTTTTAGGAGATGGGAGATAGATTTAGTTTTCCCACTCCCCTGGTTCCAACTGAAAAGCTGATTGGTGTGATAATTTCTTTACATTTTTCTTTACAGATTGACTGCTTTGTTTTTCCCTCCAGACTGTACTGGGAGAAAATATTAGGTACCATGAAAGGGTGGTGGGGGTGGGGAACAGTAGAAACACTGTAATAAAATCTTTATTTAAAAAAATGTCAAACTGAGTGTTGATTTGCTTTTACTAATTTGAAATGTTTAATGGGTTCCAAATAACAACCTGTAAAGATATATATAAACATGAAATTCCTTAGCTGTATTCCAAAGCATTCTTTTGCTAAGATTGGCAAAAATTTATGAGTGCTTCAATTTTAAATAAAAATATTCTTTATAAAGAAATGGCAATTAAAAGCTTTAGTACAATAACTTACACTTTAAATTAGTCTAAATTAAAATGTGTATTTTATCTTATATATGTTATGCTGACAAAGTATAGGTATGTCTGTTGTAACTGGAAAAATATCATACCACAATTTATGAAATGCAACTGCAACCATCCCTCACTAATGGCTAGGGCTGGTGCCCCACACATATAGCTGGTGCCCCACACATTCCCCATGCCTGCTCCCATTCCCTCGCTCTAGCCCAATTTTAAGATCCACTGCAGTATTATTATAAGCAGCAGATCCATAAATATGCCTCCACTGAAATGTAGGGGGTAGCCTGAGCTTTGTATGTGTGTTGTAGCAGAACTAAAGGTAGGAATGGAGCAGCAACTGGTTGTTAAGGCTATTTTTCAGAACTTCTGGAAAAGTTTCTGAACTTCCCCAGAAACCACTTAGCACCCATGCTAATTTCTAAAATGTTTAAGCAACATCTGAATCTCCTCTTAATGAGTTTAATTCAGGCATAATCCCCACTTTATTCATAATTAATAACAATGACAAATTTAGAACATTTGCACATTTTATAAGTGTACAAAGCTTACAGGAATCAACTTAACTGTACAAAATACAGCATCAGCATTGAAATCTTGTTGAGAGATAGATCTTTTTCAAGAATCAAACTCCATTTCTTTCCAGGTTTTGGAGGCATTTCTTTTGTACTGTTCTAGCTCCTAAAACAAAGCATATTTATTGTAACATTAACTTTTGTGTATAAGCAGTTACAAGTTTCTTTTTAATTTGAAAGCATTCTTCATTAAGCAACAAACATGGGTTGTGATCCTGTCCTCCTCCTTGCACCTCAATAGGCATGTACATCCATTCTCGGGGATGCAACTTTCAACCTAAGTTCTGGGGCCTCTCTTCATGGAAGACAGGGAAGGATGCTGCAGGGAGGCTGGAACATTCCCATAGTGGTGTTTTGTTTTGTGCTCAAATTGCTCCTATACTGAAGAATATTTTTCAAGGAAAAGGCTATCAGAGATTCCTTCTGTACAGAAATGAAGTAGTAGCTTCAAAATGACCTACTGACTGAAGTAAATATGTTATGGATTGGATACACTGTACAGGAGGAGATACCCGGCACTCTAATTCCAACTCCCATGACCCTTTTCATGCTTTGTCTACCAGCTTAATCTCTGTCTTGCAACTTCTAATAAACAGCTGGCATGGACATATTAAAAATAAACAAGCGTTTTTAAAAATAGGACAGAAAACTGAATTGATATTTGAAGTGCTTCTGTTATATCATTATTTCCATGGCTACTTGATCTGCAGTGTACTCACTATGCATCTTCTCCTATCTATCTATAAATCTATCTGTATAAACAGATAGCTGGAAAGCAGCACACTCAGGAAAGCACCCTTAAACCTCCTGAAATCAATGGGATTATAGCCAACAAGTAAAATCACTCAATGGTACAATACAAGCAATGCATAAAATCAATACATTCAAAATGAAATACATATGGCATTTTCATTCAAAATGAAAATATGGCATTTTAGAAATAGCACATATGAGATGAGTCTAACACCACAAAGGAAAAAAACCCCCTGCATGGATTATATAGGCCATATCTGAAAATCTTAATTGAGACTGTTGTAAAAGAAATCCAGACTGCAACACACAGAGAATTAGCTATGATTAAACAGCTATCATGCACACCTTTCATAACACTAAACAAACAGCAGTTTTATCTTTTAATTTCATACTGTGAATGTATGGTATGCAATTCTAATACTGAGATTTACTGCAAAATTACTGAAGTCCATTATTCTAATTGCACCCATATCTTCTAATTGCCATTTCAAAGAGCAATTACTGCTACTATATTCAAAAATTATATTAATATGCTCTCAAGTACAGCCTAAAGCAACAGATCTCCCAAGTCATCGGCAACACAGTGTTTTTGGCAAGGTGAAACTTCTAAGTACAAGGATACAGATCTATGAAGACAAGATTCTGAGAACAAACAGAGGCTCTTGCTTCATATATGCAGTTAGAAGCTTCTAGAGCAGGGGTCCTCAAACTTTTTCAATAGGGGGCCAGTTGAAAGGCGGTGGCTACATGAGTGGGCCAGTGGGGGGGGGGTGCCTAGGCATGTGGGCTGGTGAGGCGTTGTGGGCGTTGGGTGCGCAGGGCAGTGACTCGCTTGGAGATCTCCCAACGAGTCCAAAACCATCTCCGAGTAAGTAAGCCACCACCTCCAGCCTGTGCTGCAAGGCAGTGGTGAGTGCGCGTGTGCGGGGGAGGCAGGCAGCAGCTTGTTCACTTGGAGATGGTTTTGAACTCACTGGGAGATCTCCCAACGAGTCCAAAACCATCTCCAAGCGAGCAAGCCACTGCCTCCTGTTGGCAGCACAGGCCGGATGAAAGGGCAAGGGATCCGTCCCGTGGGCCTTAGTTTGAGCACCCATGTTCTAGAGTCTAGAGATCCTCCAGTGCAGTAATGGAATCTGTATCCTGCACCAGGTCAGGATCTTTACAACTTTATGCCATGGTTCCATGGCAGTATTAGTACTGCTGATCATACTGACCTCCTTTTTTTGGGTGGGTGAAGTGTCTGCATTCAGTCCCTCAAATCCAAATAATCATGGTTTGCTAGAGCCAATTATGTTGACCATACTGCTACTGCCCAAACTGTTATAAGCAGGTTTTTCTTTTGCAGAGTACTTTTGACTCAAGTATTCACAAGTCTCCAGAAACCCTCTTCTGCATGTGTGTTGCCCTTGCTGAAATGGACTACTTTAAGTTCTTCATGGGAACAGACTGGAGAAAGGAATAACCTCAAACAGCTAGACAAGCCCATACATGAACACACATAGGCCCAAGCTACAGTTCATGTTTCTACCTTATCAGATTTCTATTTCTGTCCTAGTTTTGGAAACTACTTTAATCAACATTTTCACCATAAAGTGAAATGATTTTTAATCTAACTTTCAGAAAGTGAAACATTCACTCTTTCACTCTTTCACTCTTGGTGAATGTGGACAAGACTGTATGGTATTTTAATAAGAAAAAGAAAGCATTGTTTTCATAACTATAGGAATTTCATGAGGTTTAATTTATTTTGGGACTAACATCCCTATTTTAAAGTTGCACAACTCTCTTAAACTTCTCAGGGTTCATTTTAAGTAGCTTCTGATGCTTGTAATACTAGTTCTTCAACTGAAATACTTCTTACTTCATTCACATTAACAGCCATGGCTTCATGTTCTTTTGTACATAACACGATATTCATTGATGAGAGAGAAAAATGAACTAACAGTTTGTTGTGAATTGTGAGCTGTTCACAATAGTTATCTTGACTGGATTCAGACAACATGGTAGCCCATGATTCAGCTACAACCCACAGCTCAATGGCGATTATATTGGTTGAATCCAGTCATTATTTTAATAAGGCTTACTTTGTGTAAGTATGTGGGTAATGGTTTGCTCTCCAGATGTTTTGGCCTATCTCTATTATATGTCACCACTGACTATGCTCGCTGGGGCTGATGGGAGCTGTAGGCCAAGACATCTGGAGAGCAGCAAATTGCCTACACCTGGTGTTGCTGCTCTTGCAATATTGTCCTTTTTTCTATGTGAAAAAAGGATAGTTTCAACTTTAATATTGGTGCAATGTTTCCAGGAAAGCCCAAAGCAGTGATTCATCTCTGGCTGCTTCCAAACAGAACCATGGGTATGTTCATCATTAACAAGCCATAGCTTTTTGGCACAGCTGGTTTCATACATGATAGTCCATGGCTTAAGGGCAAACCATGCTCAACCCATATGCAATCCATTAATGTGGACTATTGTGTTGGCTGAATCCAGTTATTTTCTGGATGACATGCTGTCACTAGTTGTGAGTTTTTTATGAAGAGCTGGAGCATATGTAGCCTCCACTTGTTCTGAGAATCACAGATTATGGAAGAGTTATTTAACCCTCACAGAGTCCATGCTCACTGGGTTTGCAAGACATGACAGCTCCCAAATGAGGGCTGCATATTCAAAATAATAGCCACACAGCTGTAGGAGGACTTTTGGGTCATACTAATAGCTCCAAGGAACCAAACTTCTGAGAAAACATGCACAAAATTATGCTGTGCAACCACTTTCAGCAAGAGGGGAGGATATTCTGAAAATGGGACATTGGCTATTTATTGTGAAATGGAGGCATCAGAGCAAATGAGCTATCTCCTCAGCACTACCTAGGAAGGAAGGGATAACTATAATCTTTCAAGAGCAGTGCCTTTCAGCTGCAGTTGTTTGTCTGCTGCATAGGTTAAGGAAGTCCACAATGCAGGGTCTTGTGGACAAAGTCATTTAGCAGATAGGTCTTCTATCCACAGCTCTAGTGAAGGCTTAAGATGTAAAGGACACTCTAATGTAGTGCTTTTGTATAGGCAGCACTACAGTATTTTTCATTAGGGTCTCTATAGGGGTATCTCCCTCCTTAGGGACAAGGACTCCAGGCAGCAGAACTTCCACTGGAGCAGTGATCAAAGAATCCTTAAGGTTATTCATAGTCTATTGAGAAAAGGAATACAAATTTTGTGCACAGTAATGCCTTTCCTACTAACCCAATAAACATACAAGTCAATTATTTCATCCTATTTCTAAAGTTTATAAGATTGGCTGTGTAGGTCTACTCATCACATTTCTGTAGTGCCAATTTTCCCAAAATTTCCCAAGGAGCCCAAAGTGGTTTACATAACCCACCTTCTCCTCTCCATTTTCTCCTCACAACAACCCTGTGAAGTAGGTTATTACAGCAGATGAAAATTTTAACAATCCTAAGTAAATAGAATCGAATATTGTGCAATTTTAAATTACTTCTCATAGCATAGTATAATGTTCATCTACAAAATAATTTCATTCATTCATTTCACTAAAATGAAAAATAGAATACAATACAGCATGTGAGGTATCTAACAATATGGACACATCTATAAATTCCCTTGACTGAGAACCAGTTTATGGCACAAGCTGAAAATATTATTTAAAAAGGAAAAATGCTACAATAACTTTCTTCTTTTCACATTTAATATAAGGCAGAAAGCAGAAAAATCAAATCAAATCCACTGATAACTAACAAAAGTCATTAAGATATGTGTGAAACAGTAGAAAGTGCCTTGGTTAGATGTAATAATCTTGATCTAATAAACCATGCTTTCCTTGACTACAGTCTTAAACCATAGATTCTCAGTAACATGAATCAATCCCCGAAGTGTTGTATTATGACATGAAAGCAAAGCAAGGGGGTAAGAGGAAGCATGTGGACAACATGGTTTATTAAGTGGAGACTATTACATCTCAATTGGCCCTGAGGCTCACTGGTAACAACACACAAATGAGATTCTTTGCAAAACAAACAGCAACTTTCCGCTTGAGACAAACTGCTTTTACAAAGCAAACAGCATGAGGCAAGATAATTCTAATTAAATGGTAGGGAGATCTGCACCTGACCTAAAGACATGATTGCTTGCTGCTTCTGCTTAGTTTCTGGTATACAAATCAACCATGGAAACTCCACCCCATTTCTGGGTTATGCCTCATAATATGCAAAGCTGAAAGTTTACACTGTGGAGAACAATAAACTCAGGGTTTTAACCCAACAACAAACCATGGGTTAAAACACTGGGCTGATTCTCCATCAACAATCCAGAGTACCAGGTTCACAGATTACGG